AAATCATTTAGTTATTCAAATGTATAGAACAAAAGTACCAAGTAACATTTTCACGATGAATCGTCCATTTATTTTGATATGTTTGGATGATTAAGCGATCTCCAATTCGAATTATTTTTCTGTAAGAGTGATCTTCAAAAGGAGATTAAGAAATTAAATGGTTCTAATCGTTAATTTCGTTCGATCAAAATACATTATTTGCAAATAAAGAAGTGTGCATGGTCCTTGTTCCATGCTGAAGGTGGCAACTGGAAGACCATTAATTATCTTCACAACAATTTTCAATACTATTCATTTCTGTATATTTCGTTTTTTTATGCATATCTCTGTTCATATTTTTTTTTGGTTTAATTCTTTGATTCATACAATTCAAAACTAAAAAGTAAATAAAAAGCGACTTTGTTTTATACAATTCAAAAGTTATAATAAATAAATAGTGTGCACGGACAAAAATAAGTGTGCGAAAATCATTTTCATTATTATATGAACAATGATTAATGGTCTAAACTATAGTGAGATTATTTTTTATTTTTTTTTATTGGTGATATGATTTTTACCACACATGCAAAAAGGGTTTAAAACACCTAAAATACTTGCAAGAGAAACAAGATAATCGTATTATATTCGGCATTAGCAAGGTCGTTTTCCACAAGGATTGTTCAAAACAATTTATATTAAATCAAAATCTGAATTAATTATTTAAAACAAGAACAAATTGTTTTTAAGACTACAAATATTAAAAACGAATTTAATTAAAACAAATAAAAGGATTGACAAGAATAAAGAAACCAAAAGAAAACATTTTTTGGAATCAAGTTGTAAAAGCACTAGAGTTTTGCTGTCATCTCAACAATCCTATTTAATTCTTCCAATTACATATGACTTATACATTCATATTTTGAAGGTTAGGCTTTCCTAAAGTATGTTCTACTTGGATCCCCAATCTAAAACGTATATCAAACATGCAACCCGTCTGTGGTATTCAAATCAAATATAAACATGTAAAACTCATTAAGCTTTACAAAAACCCTTTGGAAAACCATGCAACCTTTAAGACGTGGTATTCATCCTAAGTAAAATTACAATTACTAACCACAAGACCTTCATCAATTTTAGGTACAACCCTCCGACCAAAAATTGCATCAAATTACTTTTCTAAATATCCTAATAGATGCAAATCATCAAGACAATTAGATAGTTTAAATACGGTGATTACTAATTCAAAATTTGCATGAATAATATCATATGCAAATTGAAAATAAACTACATATTCTTGCTAAGGATCGTGGCTTCACCCTTAGCAAAAGAAAGTTATATATTCCTAATTGATTTCAAAAGGTTTTTTATTGAAATAAATAAAGAATGAAAACACCTTAAAAGTAAAAGTCTGAAATCTCTAAGTTTTGGCTAAATTTGTCTCTCAAAAATTGCATAGAGAATAAGAACCAGGGCTGGCCAAAACGCCTTATTTATACTATAATTGAAATCCTTCCTAGAAAAGAGCTTATAACCTATGAAATTGGTACCAGGTGGAATAACTTGTATATAAAAATTATAATCCGTTGGGCTGACTAGTCAAGCCCGCTAGTCAACTAAGATAGATTTGTTAGTCAATAAATTGAAGATTCAATTTTCATTTTCAATTACCAAAAACTATCCTAATCAGCAAGGCTGCAGTTTGTTGCAAGTTATTAATGTGTCAAGTGGGCAAGATTGTGAGCATATACCATTTAAGTGTTCAATAGATATATGTATCAAGTATATGTATGTGAGATGTGTGACACAATAAAAATAACTTGAACACAAGATATTTTTGGTTCGAAAAACTCACCTCTGGGTTAAAAAACCAGGGTCTCTCTACTGAGTCCAATCCACTAGTGTAAACAAGGTTCATACAAAGACCACACAAGCTCAATTCCTAGATCCCTATCTATGAAGTAGCTTTACCTTTGTGCAACCTTGCCTTACACGAGATGAACTCCTTCGGTCTTCATGAAGTGGCAGCTCCGCCTGAGCTTTTCACCTTGTGGCACCGATATCAACTCAAATCACGAAATAATATGATGTTATGATATGCATATAAAATTTGGATTCAAATGACCAATCAGATTCTCCAGTCAAATAGTTGAAGGAAGAATCTAACTTGAATCCAAAAGTATGGTCTAAAAATGAATTTAAAGCTTAAAACCAGACCAAGACATAAATGCAAAACCTTAACCTAATATATAATGATTGGGTGTTTAATGCATGAGGAAGGTTTTGCAACTAGGGTTTCATAAATGAGGAGAAGGAAGAAGGCAGAAGCATAAATGCTCTTTCTTTCTATAAACAGATTTGACTTGGAAACCCCAAATGAACTAAGGAACCAGCTAGAGATCTTAACCCCAAAAGCTTTGGTTTGTTTTTTACCTACCAGGGACACATGTCATCCTACAAATTGATAAGAAAAGATTAAGGGCTGAGATCTAACTACCGGCAAAAAGCTGTCAGGAAACCCATGTGGGTAGGTCTTAATTTGTATGCCTAGCTTGCGGGAAATCTGCGTGCAAGCCTGACTAGAGAATTAAACTAGTTAGAATGAAGCAGAAATGCAGACGTGAAATATGCATGCATGAACAAACCTTTTGAAGTGAGATATGTCTCATCCTTGTACATTTCTTCACAGCAGACACACCCAATAAATAGAAAGCAGTCTAAAGCTAGATTGAGCATGTGGTACACTTCAATGTTGACAAGGAAAGCCAAACCTAAAAGTCTAGACTTCATAACCTAGGAAACAAAATAAATTAAGAGAAACTAAGAAACTATCTCCTAGTCAAACATGGAGAAATTTGCCAGCAAACTGATCAACCACATTCTGGGCTCAAAACAAGAAAATGAGTTTTTAGTTGTTCATGGATTTTAAGATGGTTTTTCTTTATCAAGTTGTCAAATATATTAAGCCTTTAGATCTAAACTAATATAATATTGTGGCTAATATGCATTTAGTCCTCACAGGTTCTCAAAATGAGGACCTTAGGAGAGTAAGTCTATCATTATATAAAGTCTAATTCTTTTGTGTCTTTAATTTCGGAGGGCTTGTTTGCAATTGAATTTTAAGAAAGTAGTTACTCATAAATACTTATATTAGAAGCACATCAAAATTCAATATAAACTAAATCTCACAACAAACTAGTTTTCTATTCATAAGCATAGTGGAGTTTCAAATTTGCCATTGCTTTCTTTTATTTCATTTCTTCCACTGATGGAAATGCCCCTTCTAACATGTGGGATCCCACTCACTAGTTTCCTCTTCCACCTCTTCCTTCCTGCTCAATTTTGATTCGAACAACTCATGCTTGAATTCAATTTTCTTCCCCTCAATGAGTCCGACTTCACTTAAGATCATTCCAACTCTTGAACGAGAAACCCAAAACTTACTCATATGTCACCCTTCTCCTTGGTCCACCATTGTCCTTTTCAACGTAACCTCTTCTGCAATCCCCCCACCCCTCAATTCGACATCGCCCTTCTCTTTGGGTAAGCTAGCATCATGGAGTGTCTTGAAGAGCTTCTTATACTGTTCTTGGATGATCTAATTCCTGAGTGCTATTTTGTTGTTCTGAGGTTCCAGCAGTTCAACTTTAGTTTGAAGAGCAGCCTTTTTCATTTCCCTCATTTGTTGCCTCACATTAGACATGAGGGGAGCGTCGTTTTTAGTGTTGTGGTGGCTTCCTTCGCTTCCCATGTTGGAGAGGATGCCTGATTGAAGAAATGTGTGTGAATGATGGAAATTGGCTTGACGAAGCTAGTGAGAGTAAGAATCAGTGTTGTTCCCATAGACGGCGCCAAATGTTAATGCACAAAATCGGATTGACTTTGAAACAACATAAAGTGTTAAGGTTGTGACCTTCGCAAGGTTGTTCACGTCACCTACTAAGGGACCTAAGGGTAATATAGAAAAGATAGAGATAGGGAAGCAAACATAAGATGTACGTGGTTCATCCTAAGTTGGGCTATGCCTATGAGGGTAGATAAGTTCTCATTAATAATGTAGAGTTTACATAATACAAAGGTTCAAGCCTAATCATCATTAATGAGTTATAATAATGAATTAAGTACAATAATGATACTAGGGATTAATGGTAAGAGAATGATCTCCTTTTATAGTTAAGGAGAGTCTCTGACTCTCATCCACGATCGATGTGAGACTCTAGGAGCTTTATTCTGATGTTGACATGTGTCGTGTTATGATTGGTCTCTTAAATAGACTGGAACTCATATGCTTCGACAGGGGTTCCTTAGCATGAGCCTTTCAGTAGGTCCCTGAAGATATGAAGTTGATTGGTTCTTGGTAGTTTCGGGATTGGTGAAGTATGGTACAAACACTTTCTATAAATATAGTTTATAGTTTAGTATGAATAACAAATCAGCCAAGATGTAACCTCTTTAGTTTATGTAGCTTTCTTGGCAATTTCATATATTTTTTTTATTTAATAAAGTTTTTATATTCAGTTAGTTCGTTGCGTACTCTATATTCAACTGATCCGACTAAAGTGAGAAATGGGTGGGACCACTAGTAAAAAAAACACTTTGCGCGACGCAGGTCCTTCGTCGCGCAAAGTCAAAAAAACATCGCGCAAAAATTAGCGCAACGAACCTTCGTCGCGCACCAACCGTCGCGCCAAGGCCGTGACAGAAGGGTTTGCGCGACGAAGGAGTAACATACGTCGCGCAAAGTAGTTTTGCGCGACGTAGAGCAAAGTAGTTTTGCGCGACGTAGGTCCTACGTCGCACAAAGTGTCTTTGCGCGACGCAATTTTCTACGTCGCGCAAAAATACTTTGCGCGACGTATAACATGCGTCGCGCAAAGACACTTTGTGCGACGCAGATCCTACGTCGTGCAAAGTATTTTTGTGCGACGTATGTTACTCCTTCGTCGCGCAAACCACTTTTTTTTTTTTTGGCAAAAATATTTTTTATTTAATTTTTAATAAATATTGTAAATTCTAAACAATAATTAATAAACAAAAAAAAAGTATTTAATTATAAAATATATGAAAATGTACATACAAGATGTCCGAACAAAAAAGAAAAAACTACAACAAGTAGTCTTCTATGTTTGATACATTAGACTACTGGGTATCGGCTGGGCAAAGTGGCTGGGAGGTCAAAGGTGGAGCAAGATTAGGTGCTGGCATCGGGATTTAGAGGCCGGAAATCTGTAAGGCCCGTACAATAATACTCATCTGCTCGCCCTGGGCTGCAAGTTGACCTTTTAGGGTTGTCACTTCCTCCTTCAAGGCATTGACCTCTCCTGTGGTCGATCTGGAAAAGGAGGCACCCGTCTCACGAACCCGCGCCTTCCCCATACACCGAACAATAAAAATATAACATTAGAAACTAGTCCTTTCTTGCATTTGAAACTAATCAATTAGCAGCCAAAGTAATATCATATCCTTTCTTGCATTTGTTCACACACACACACACACATATATATATATATATATATATATATATATATATATATATATATATATATATATATATATATATATAAAGCAGTAGTGCAATGGTAGAAACAATACTAATTAACGATGTCAACTATGCTTTAAACCAATAGGATCAGATGTTCCGTTTATGTGTATCTTGATTATTTTGGTCGCAAGTTAATATGTCGTATTTTTATTTGTCGTAAAATACATGTAAGAAAGCAATTCTAAGTAGATATATACTTGATGTTTATCCAAAAGCTATCTTCAAACACATTGACAATATTCTTAGTGCAGTTATTAAATTCTATACCTGCAATCTAACTAAGAAAGCTTTAATTATCATGGCCTATCTAACATGGACAAATCAATCATCAAACATAGACAGTCCTTATGCACCTAATTATACAGCATGGGAAGCATGACTTCATCAGTCAACAAACATACACAGTCCTTATGCACAAATCAAAAGTGGCATCAAGAAAAACTGTAACTACAAATGTGAGAACAATCATCGCGTTAGAAATCATTTATCAATCTTAAATAAGTGTCCATACAAGCAAAGTGTTGGCAACAAACCCCGTAGACATGTGTAAGAAAAAGATTAGAAGCACAAGTGTAAGAAAAGGAAAGCTGGATAAGTTACCTGCTTCCCATTCTCATCCATGATAACCATCCTCGGCAACGATTGAACCTGCATTAAGAAATTTGACTCTCATACAAAGAGAAATAGGTTCACTAATGCCCAAACACAATACAAGCAAACGACGAGAGAACAATCTCAGAACTTATCTGGAAAGAGATCCAAACCACATGCATGCATACATCTTCATTGCCTCTGAAGACCAAAAGAACCAAACAAATCAGCTCAAAAATGCAACCGGAATTTTCACTATGCCACAATAGATGAAAATTAGCATAGGAAGGCACACAACTCTATATGAACATATATTTTTTACCAGTAAAAGAGGGAAGAAAACCTAACTCTCAGAGTCTCATGACTTATTGTCAAAACATAGGCAAAAACTTAATGGACGCAGTTGCCAAATAAGTTTTAAAAACTTTATGAGCCTTGCATGGAAGAGAAGTAATCTTCCAGTACTTGGTTTTCTTAATTGACATGTTTTCAGCAGGAGTGTTGGTTGACATGTACCTCGCCATCCAAGACCTACTTGCTTCTTAAATCTGTTCTTGTCTTTTCATTTCAATTTTTTATTTTTTTTCAAAAGAGGAAGAAACAATTGTCATTATTTTTTTTTTGGGTCAAGATTATATTATATGAGATGGGGACTTTCAGATTAAAAATGAGAAACAGAAAAACCTGCTAAACCAAGTAACATAATGAAGATCACTTTTTTTCTTTTTTCAAATAACAAAAGTCCAAGAGAAAGATTTACCTTCCAAATTGCGTCTCTCTTTGCAGTTCCAACCAAGTATGGATGATGAGCACAGAACAAAACTCGTGTTGCTGCACTTGGAGCTGCAGGTAGAGCTACTAATGATATGACAAGTAAAGCCTTCACTGAAACCTCAACCAAAGGGAGGAATGGTACTTGAGTGTCCAATGAATTATCTGTTTCACTATAACACATAGAAAATTAAATCCCCGCCACCATATCAGAGAGGATATGAGAAACAATGTGCAGAGATGGGTACTTAAATGTACAAATCAATACACTTAAACCACCACAAACACTTGTATTTAATATTGTTATTAATAGTATATTTAAATATGATTGAAAGGAAGAACCAACAACATCAACTAAAGCTACAGAACCATAAGAAGAACAAACCGAACTTAACAATGATGGTCAAGGTTCAAGATGCTTATTCTGCCTGCACCCACCCCAATGGGAAGAATTAAAAAGGATAAGTAGCGTTTATAAAAAAGAGTTGCACCTTAACTTTGATCATGTCAAGTGGAGCATTACACATTTCTTGCAGTGTGTTGATCATGCCAATCCTCTGAGCCTGTTTAAATGGAAATGTTAATTAAAGATAACACAAGCAGAAGCCGCTTAACAGTGTGCTCAAATAAGGAAATGTTAAGAAAATATAGTGAGGACTTGTCTTTTCCCTAATTTGAATATTACTCTGACTGAGGAAGATATGGACTTACCTCCTAACCCCACTCTTTGTTCCTAATTAGTCCCTTCCTTACCCATACACCTACAGAAGAAAAAGAAGAAACTAAAAAGTCCCTTCCACGGCCCAATACCCGATTCGACTCGTTCTGAGTCGGACTCGTTGTCGTGAAACCCAGCCGCAGACGAGCTTGGAGAGGCAGGGGGAGTCGTAGTCGCCGGAGTGCTCGCTTCCTTTGCTAGCGTCACTAGGTCCGGACCCTTTTCGATCTCGTTCTAACAAAACCAGTCATTGATGATCAAACAGTTTCTCCTTCCTACTTTTGTTTCAGTAAATCGAGGGAAAGAAAGAGGGAAAGAAAGAGAGGGAGATTTTGGGTCTGCAGGGAAAGGTTCAAGATTGGGTTCGAAAGAAGGGGAAAGAAGGAGGGAAAGAAAGAAAGGGAGATTTGGGGTCTACGGGGAAAAGAGGGTTCAAGATTGGGTTCGAAAGAAGGGGAAAGAAGGAGGCAGATTTATCACAACTCATAAATAAAGAGGGAAAGAAATAGGGAGGGTTCAGGTTTAGGGAGAGAAAGACCGAGTGAGGGAAAGGGAGAGAGAGGACGATATGAGCGAGAGGGAGAGAGAGGGTGATTCACCTGCGTGAGAGGATGAGGGAGACGGAGTGAGAAGAGAGAGTTCAGTGAGAAGAGAGTTCGGGAGACCGAGTGAGAAGAGAGAGTTTGGGTTTATCACAGATAGCGAAAATTTAAACAAAGCGCCTATTTTTAACAAGTGCACTGCCAAAATTATCACACATTGCGCGACGCAGGTTTACCTTTAGACGTCGCGCAAAATGAGTACACGTGGCGTCGCGCAAGGTATTTTTTTTTTTAAATATTATAACATGTACTGAAAATGTAATTTTACTGCCTTCAAATTCAATTTTTTTTCCATAAAACCCACAATAATATATTGTTATAACAATTGCAATAAATTTAAAGCTACTTAATAAATATACATGTTTTTCAATTTCTTAAGTGTTATACGTACAGAATAAATAAATTTAAATTTACTTAATATATATATACACACATACCATTGAAATTGATGAGATACGCATTGTACAAAACTAATTTGAACGATCAAACCGTCAAACTTGTTTGTATATACTTCGAGATTGCATACACCAAAAATTGCCAAAAAAAAACATTCAGAGATTAAGTAACGGGACAAAACTTTGCGACGGTTATAAACGAAAAATCACGATTTAACGGTAGTTTTAACTCCGATTTTAATGATTTTTTACAGCTACACTCCTTGATCATATATGAATACAATGAACTAATTCGATCGTCAATTTAGAATATTTACACAAGTAGATACCACAAAATCTTTATGTTATACTTAATGAAAGTATAAATAAACTCTAAGTGTTAGTGAATCTATCATTTTGATGAGATACGCATTCTATGAAGCTAATTTCAAGGATCCAACCGTCAAACTTGTTTGTATATGCTTTGAGATCACATACGCAAAAAATCGAAAAAAACAAACATTCAAAGGTCGAGTAACATGACAAAACTTTTCAACGGTTATAAACCAAAAATCACGATTTAACGGTAGTTTTAACTCCGATTTTGATTATTTTTTATAGCTATAGTACTTGATCCTATATGAATACAATGAACTAATTCGATCATCAATTTAGAATATTTACACAAGTGGATACCACAAAATCTTTATGTTATACTTAATAAAATTATAAATAAACTCTAAGTGTTAGTGAATCTATCGTTTTGATGGGATACGCGTTCTATGAAACTAATTTCAAGGATCCAACCGTCAAACTTGTTTGTATATGCATCGAGATCACATACGCAAAAAATTGAAAAAAACAAACATTCAAAGATCGAGTAACGGGACAAAACTTTTCGACGGTTATAAACCAAAAATCACGATTTAACGGTAGTTTTAACTCCGATTTTGATTATTTTTTATAGCTACAGTACTTGATCCTATATAATACAATGAACTAATTCGATCGTCAATTTAAAATATTTACACTAGTGGATACCACAAAATCTTTATGTTATACTTAATGAAAGTATAAATAAACTTTTAAGTGTTAGTGAATCTATCGTTTTGATGGGATACGCATTCTACGAAACTAATTTCAACAATCAAACCGTCAAACTTGTTTGTATATGCTTCGAGATCGCATACGAAAAAAATCGCAAAAAACAAACATTCAGAGGTTGAGTAATGAGACAAAACTTTTCGACGGTTATAAACGAAAAATCATGATTTAACGGTAGTTTTAACTCCGATTTTGATTATTTTTTATAGCTACACTCCTGAATCCTATATGAATACAATGAACTAATTCGATCGTCAATTTAAAATATTTACACAAGTGGATACCACAAAATCTTATGTTATACTTAATGAAAGTACAAATAAATTCCAAGTGTTAGTGAATCTATTATTTTGATGGGATACGCATTGTATGAAACTAGTTTCAACGATCCAACCGTCAAACTTGTTTGCATATGCTTCGAGATTGCATATGCCAAAAATCACAAAAAACAAACATTCAGATATTATGTAACGGGACAAACCTTTTCAAAGGCTATAAACCAATAAATCATGATTTAACGGTAGTTTTAACTCCGATTTTGATAATTTTTTATAGCTACACTCTTTAAATCTATATGAATACAATGAACTAATTCGATCGTCAATTTAAAACATTTACACAAGTGGATACCACAAAAGAAAAATGCAATGCAAGAACCCAAAAAATAAAAAAAATAAAAAAATAGAAGACTTTGCGCGACGTAGGTACCGCTACGTCGCACAAAAGTTTTTTTTTTTTGCCCTTTTGCTTATAAGTAAATACATATACCATTGATTTTGATGGGAAACGTATTGTACGAAACTAGTTTGAACGATCCAACCGTCAAACTTGTTTGTATATGCTTTGAGATTGCATATGCCAAAAATCACAAAAAAAAAATGCAGAGATCAAGTAACGGGACAAAACTTTTCGACGGTTATAAACGAAAAATCACGATTTAACGGTTATTTTAACTCCAATTTTGATGATTTTTTACAGCTACACTCTTTAACCCTATATGAATACAATGAACTAATTTGATCATCAATTTAAAACATTTACACATGTGGATACCACAAAAGAAAAAGACAATGCAAGAACCATAAAAAAAAAAATTAAAAAAAAAAAAAAAAAAAAAAAAAAAAAACTTTGCACGACGACAGTCTTCGTCGCGCAAACTGCCTTTGCGAGACGTAACTTTGCACGACGAAGGTTGGCGTAGCGCAAAGCCACTTTGCGCGACGTAGGAACTTCTGTGTCGCGCAAAGTGGCTTCGCGCGACGCCAACCTTCGTCGTGCAAAGTTACGTCTCGCAAAGGCAGTTTGCGCGACGTTTTGTGTTTTCCGTCGCGCAAACATACTTTGCGCGACGAAATTTTCTCCGTCGCGCAAACATGTTTTTCTACTAGTGGACGAGGATAAAGATAGAGTCAATTATAGCTGGTATCACTTGGAATTGGAGATGAATGAGTGGGAGATTTAAGGAGAAGGTGTGCATGCGAGATGAACGAAGGAGGAACCGAGGAACTAAATTATGACAAGAAAGTTTGAGAAATATGGTATCAGTGCTCATTTGTGCGGAATACAAAGGTTTCTGTATGCAAACAATTACCATTGTGCCCAATATGTCATATGGACAAACTACTCCACCGTTCGTACACATATAAAGTCAACTAGCACCAGGGACGAAGCCAGAAATTTGTAAGAATAGGGGCATCCTCAAACAACAAGGTATAATTTAAAAACTCAAGAATTTATTGCACAAAACACTTATATATTAATCCATAAAGTTTTTCATACAACATCTTACAATATTCCTTGACACATTTTCATGCAAATAGCTCTCTCTATAAAAATAGGGGTATGATATCCACACACCCTTTTTTACTTCTCCCACACCCTTTTAATTTTCGGCCGTCGGATCGGATGAATTAAAGAATATCAAAGGATAGAAATTAACAAGGGGTGTGGGAGAAGCAAAAAGGGGTGTGTGGATAGCATACCCCTAAAAATAATCATGTTATCATTGATCCATTGATCTCCCATTCGATCTCTCAATCGATTCTTCAGAAATTTCATGGTCGAAAATACTCTTTCAACAGTGGCAGTAGCAGCTAAAAGAGTTAATGCTAATGTCACAAGCATGTAAACTAACGGATACACCTTGTCGTTTTTCCACTAGACCATTTTTTTAGGGAGTTTCAATAAAACACTCCCATACTATTCATTTTTAACGAAAAACCACATTTTTACCTTTAACTGGCACTATTCATTATACCTTTAAAAATGACTTTTCGTTAAAAGAGAAGTTTTTTTTAGACTTTTCGTTATTTTTTTTTCTTTTTATAGTTTAATTAGAACTAACATTGGAATTGAAATGCAATCCATGTTTTTCATTTGTAGTTTAATTAGGGCTTGGGAATTGGAATGCAAAAGTGTACACACACACACAATTGAGTGAGGGCGGATGCCCCCCTAAGCCCTATACAACTTCGTCCTTGACTGGCACACCAATCCGTCCCTAATCTTGAGATGGAAAACGGCACAGATATATGAGACTTTTTAGTATTTCTAAACTGATATATAAATTATAACCATTTATTAGACATTCATACATATATCAGTCCCTACTACTCATTCTTGTAGTGCTTAAATATAGTGTTACAAAAAGGATGGTGCTATCTACACATATTTTTATACTTTTCACACACGCTTCTTAATTTTCTATCATTGGATCGATTAACTTAAAGGTAAAATTTAACAGAGTATGTGTGGAAGGTAATAAGAAATGTGTGATAGCACCACACCAAAAGAATAAAAACCTAAAACAAAGCAAATTTACTAAAATGGGGAACTCGTTTTCAACTAAAACAAATGTTTGTGAAAAAGTTCTGATACTATTCCTCGCCTCGTAGGAGGCAAAATACATAGAAAGTGTAAAAAGCCTTGCACAACTAGAAGAACAATAACTTCTAATTCTAATTGCAATAGAATAAAACAAAAGAGTATGAATTGAATTGCTCCTACATATCATGTACATTAATTATGAGTGTTCTCACTTTACTCCTACGGTAGTCAGAAAAAAGAGTATGAATTGAATTGCTCTGCTTGAAATCATATTTCTTAGTAATCATGGTTTTTTTTTCTATCTCCATGTATACTTCAATATTGCTTGTTCCCGATCCTTCATTGAAGAGGAGGAGCATTGTAATATGCCGGGATTGTTGCTGGAAAGAACATTTGTCTAACTCCTTCACCCTTGATAATGGGGAATATGATTCCTGATGCACCCTGAAAATAAAAGGAAAAAACAAAATTTTAGTAAGTGAAAAGTAACGTATGTATTAATTTGTAAATGACAAGTATGTCGATAAAGAGGAAGTATATTGGCAATTTTAGTGAACATACCAAGATCAATCTAGTCCCGAGCCATAGACGTTTAGGCGTAGGGAATGGAATCATCAAGCGGCCGACTCCATAGACAGCCACAGCAAAGAAATGGAGAAACAGATGGATTGGACGAGGGTTAAGCCCAGAGAGAAGCGATATAGGTCCGTATGAACATATGCCTCCAAGGCTCAAATAGTCG